ACGTATAGGTCTTGCACGCTACACTACTGCTGGATGACTGTGGTCTCAATAACGCAACAGTGCGATATCGATTCGATTATCCCTTAGTGGTAGTTTAGTTGTCTATCTTGTATGCTGCGAGCTACCATGATAGTGAGCCTATACAGAACGAATGATATAGGAGTCGAACGAGCACGTGTCCCTGAAGCAGCACTCAAGCACAGTCTTCATGCTTGAGATGAGTATCATTCGGGCCGGCCTTTGTCACAAGAGGGGTCTGCCAAGCAAGAGATTGTTTATGGGGACGTTATTACTTTGGGGGCGTGTCATGCCATCAAGAATGATTATTCAGGTGTCACAGTGACGGAGTTTGAAAACACTGATAGGCGAAATGATCCGGGTACAAGCACCTTTGGCTCATAGCTATCAGGAGATGTGGAGTGAAGGACATTGATGACATAGTATCACTAATTCATTCGCTATGAATCATAGCACTTTGATACCCTTCGGGCTGCGGACCCGTGCTCTGGTCGTGGGTTTCGTGACGGCGGAAGAGGGTTGAATCGATTGGTAGCGATCCACCGATCAATCATGCTTACTGCTCGTTGCCTGTCGCTGCCCGACTTGTGTTATTTCCGATCGGATGAGCCCTTCACCATCGACGTCGTGGTGGTGAGTGGATCGGAGGTGTATCCATCTTGAGTATATGATCAAGGCACAGGCCGCCGGTGAAGACGCTAAGTACGAGCCGCATTCTCATCTCGCCGAACAGAACGTGGCAACCTCGTCCAACCAGCTCATAGGTTCTCCTTTGCCTGACCTGCCCCCAGCGGAGGCGCACCTGATGCTCCCGGTGGCCGACGGATGCCAAAGTTTGCTTTCCGTGCTTCGTCGATTCGACCCTTCGCCAGGCTGATACCGGGGACGACCCACTCTGAACAACTACATTGCATGCCCTGCCATGCGTACTTGCCTACGTTGGTGTGACACTTTGGGCACTCGAGTCGGCCTTCCAACTTGCCTTGTTCGAGCTCGGGGCGCATCCAGGACAGGGGATCTAGGAAGTAGTGGGAGCAATTTTGCGAAGAGGCTTTCTTAGCTTCTGGTGTCTCATCGCTGACGGAGGAAGCTGACCCATGCGATAGTAGATACGTTGACGTTGCTAATGCTCGTCTGAAATTTTGTAAGCGCTGAGCAAGACGGGCGGCAACAGGCAGTAGGGTGACATTAGTTTGCTCTCGCACAGCTCCACTTACCTGCATTTACGACATCTCAATTCGAAGCCGGAAGTTTCATCGGTGACATGTTCGTCTTCGAAGCGGATCTTGTCCGCCTCTGGAGCTTGGCCACACGCGCGGCTCAGCTCGATCTCGCGTTGGTAGACCCAGCGCTGATAGGCCGGGGTGTCTTCGACGTTCTCTGGTGTCTGCATCTCACCGTATAGCTCGAGCTGTTTCATGAAGCCCTCGTTTGGTTCGCAGATGGATCGCGCTTGCCGAACGTGCGACAGAGCTTCCGATGGGCTGATGTTGTGCTCTTGCATCAAATACGCAATGACGACGGTAGCCGATCGTGACTTGCCCATAGCACTAGAACAGAGGTTGTGGTTGGCATATTGATACGAGTGGCTGAGGGCAAATAGAGTGGCGACAGGGCGGTGTAGTTCGGAGAAAAAAACGCGGAAAACGGAAGGCGAGAAAAGATGAAAAAGAGGATGCAGGACGCGCGGAAAGCAAAATCAGGCTGCATGACTTGCATGCTGGTGACGACGCCTTGGGGCAGTCGTTTTTTGTGAAGATGGCAAAATTGCCAAGCAGGGCAGTCGTCGGCGGCGATCCAGAGTTGTTGGAATATGCAAGTGCAAGGCTTCATTCAGCTCGACCAGGATGTTGACTTACCAATGCACCAAGACTCCGCCACCTCCCTGGAGCCCCTCCCGGATGAAGCGGTTTGTAGCAGGGAAATGCTCCAATAGATTCTCGTCGTCGACATCGTCGACCTCGACAATCATGTGCTTGAAGGGGCCAAACAAGTCTTGATCTAGTGGTGTACGCAACACCGACAAGACGTGCGTGATATTGGCTTGCTGGAGGGCTTCGCGCCGTCGCAGCGTGAACATGCTACGCAACACTGGTTAGACAGTAGTCTGGTGACCCCAGACCTGGGCCATGGGGTAGATGCGAAACGATGGTCGACCGTCGACATTACGTACCCACCAATGTACAGGTTCAGGTCCCCGGGCACTCTGTCGATGAGCGCCATGATAGGCAAAGGAAGGGCTCCGAGAACAATCGGACGCCGGAGATGAGGGTATGACGATCAATAAACTTGGAAGAGGCGCGAGTTGTTGGAGGTGTGCGAGAAGAGGGTCTAATTTTGGCCGAGGGTCCTGGGTTTCTGATCGCGCGTGCCCGCCAAAATTGCGGACCACCCGTAATTGCATCAGATAAGTGGTTTGTTAAATTTGGAGATGCTGCAACACGCTCGATTGACTGCTACATAGTGTGCTCACTTTCAAAATCCTTGCATCGACGTATGAGTTTCCAAAGTTGCATGCCAGAGGGCACGGCCAAGCATCGCAGTGAAGACACCACCAGCTTCAATTACGTTGCCGAGCTAGTAGTTCGTAGCCTTATAGGTGCATGGACTATGTTCCACGCCTTGCCCGTACTGACCCGTAGTTCATAGTCTTTAGTGAAGCCCTTTGCAATAATAACTGTCATGGAGAGAGTCATGCGTCGTTGCAGTCAGCGGTATTTTCCGCAAGACCGCGGGGCTACACACAGTGGATCAGGGACTGCATACCATTAACATGGATGAGGCTATAGCTCGAATCGAGAAATTCCAGTTCTATGATGGGCTAAGACCGTTGTTGCTGCGCCCCCAGCGCATTTGAGTTGCCCGAGCAGCCGGAATCCTGGACAGCGGTCAATGAATGCCATGTTTTGTCTTGTGTCGGTGGTGTGGTGTTGCTGGCATCGTGAGACAGGCAATATTGCAGCCGCTACCGAGAGACAGAAATAGCGAATTGCTTGTACTCCCCGGCTGCTCGCAAGGCTGGCGGTGCCGCCTCGTCCCGCATCTCGGCGAATCGCATCAGACTCCTCTGGCAAACGGGTAGAGGAGCGGTAGTTGCGAATTTGATATTCCATGTCGCCGACGAGGGTTGCAAAGTCGCTGACATCACGCACGCGTTGCTGGTTCGCGCTGTCTCAAAGCAGCTGGAGCGCCGCTTACCTGACCACAGGGCAGTACCCACTCGCCGGTGAATGCTACGAGGTACCACTGTGGCCCTCCGACTGCAATAGTAGGTTCGGCTTGGGGCCGATACCCCGGAGTAATACGCGTGACAGCACGAGGTACCCTGGATGCATCGAGATAGGGCCCCAGATAGAGGGTGCCGTTCTCGGCCTGTATGTACGACGAGTGCAGGTACCAAAAATACCATGGTGCACCAGACAGAGTGCATAGTGTGTACGCCCCGCAGTGATGAAGGAGACGGATCAGCAGATCAGCGTGCGGTGGGTGACAGCCGTCTCAGCCTGACTGATGCCCAGAGGGTCGAGTGTAAGGCTGCTCTGGGCTTACGCTGTTGGAACTGCTCAGCATCCGTGCACTGGCCTCCCGCTACCCGCCGTCGAGTCTAACCCACACGGTTGAATCTGACGCTGTGCCGTCTGCACCGCAGTCCCCCATGCCCATCGAGGCGAAGCGCAACGTCTGCATGTTGGACAGTCTGGTCAGATTCGAGGCATGCAGCCCTCGTCAGCCAGCGGGCCTGCGCCGTCGGCAGCCTCTGCGCCTGCCCTACCAGCCCTCTCACCGTTGCACCGGCCTGACTGACGTCTACGCACGGCGGCTCTACTTGGTCTGCGTAATGATGCTGGACGAGCGGGCGCCAATCCTCGATTGAAGGTTCCGCCCGCCCACGCTGCTGGGAGTCGTCGCCCGTCACTGCAATCTACGAGGCGACGTCGAGGCGCTAAGGGCAAGCCCTATGCACGAGACGAGCGTCGCGGCGTGGACCTTGAAGCTTCTCGAAAGCGAGAGCCCTCCTCCGACCGCCTAAGGGTTGCATCTCACCCCTGCTGGAGCTCCACTGCGCTCCGTGCCAGGAGCAACCAGACAGGGCCAATCACCGACATTCGAGCGTATGCTTTATGCTAACCGCACTCCCCGGTGGAGGGCGTTTCTTCTGCTCCGTCTGCCAACTGCTGCTGTTGCTGTCCAGCGGCGCCTCTGTTCTGCACAACCATCGACGCGACGGAACAGACGACGCCGGCGGCCGAGCACGCTTCCTTTTCCATTCTACTCCACTCGCCTCGACGCTAGGGACCCTACCGCATTCCCGCGCCATCTTGTTCGCTGCCGTGTAGCAGGAACTGTGCGCTTCCGGGGCCCTGACGACTCTTTGCTGCATTGCTCGCACCAGACTGGTCATATGACGACTGCTTTCGGGTGAAAAGAAGCAATATCACTGTGTGGCGGCGCTGGCCAGAACCCTCCCGTTCAGCTGAAGGACCCTCCTCCCTCGTAGGGCTGAACTTTCAACAGCCGCAAGCGCTAGCGCCCCCGCTTTCGCTTTTGTAAGCCTCGCCGTCGAGAAGCCATCCCAACGACGCGTACGTCCCCTCGACCGACCGCACAGGTACGTTGCATCTTAGTACGCAATCGCGCGACCTCAGCTGCCTCTGCCCGCCCTCCTGCTCCCATTCCCTGCCTGTTTCGGCCAGTCCGTGTACTTTCCGGCTAACCATTCTACTCCAGGGTCCGTGCTTGCATACACTATCCAGTAGCGAGCATACTCACTCTTGCTCGTCGCGCTCGCCACATTTGCGCTGCTCGCGTGCTGCGTCAGTACGCTTCAGCTGCACCTTAGTGGCGGGCTCCCGGCGACCTCATCTTCCACGCGAGCCATGTCCTCCACACCGAGTATTCGCGTATATGATTCTCAGCGTGAATCCCACCACTACCAACTACCACACCACCGCCGACCGTCGATACCAACCCCGGCTGTCGCAATGGCCATCCCGAGAGTATGTCAGCGTGTGCTCCAGCTATTGGATACAACGGAGAGGTCTAGAGCACTTTGTGGCTTCATCACGCCAGAAATAGCTCCTGGTTGAGTCGCAAAGCACTTCAGCCTCATCCGAGACACAATACGTCATATGAATCCCTCACTGACTGTACCGTTTTTACAGGCACGCGAACAGCCACCACCTCCCTTGCCTCCTCCACGTCACATCGAAGTCAGAGGTGGTCAAGACCCTGGTTGGCAATGGGGTAACACAAACAGCCCAAGGGATACCGGCTTTGGCGGAAATCGGCTCGCGACAGTTAAACCTGGCTCGAGCTTATACGGTGGAGCCACAGGCGGCCACCCGCGGGAGCCTTCGCTCGATATGTTTAACCACGGCCGCGAACCGTCCCTCTCAAGATCCATCGACGGTATGAGCGAACACAGCACCAGCGAAGACGACCGTAGTAGCAAAGCTCGGCCCTCTCTCGGGAACCACAGGTACGGAACACGCTATTACATCTCCCCTCATATCATAGAGCAAGTACTATCAGGGCTCTTGCAAGGCCCTGCAGCACTTGAGTGTCTTTGGTTAAGATGCGGTGTTGTCATTTCTCTGGCAGATCCCGGTCTTTTGGAGGATTCACACGCTTTTCGATTGGTCCAGAACTTTTCAAGGGTTGCTTGTATCCCTTGTGCATACAAATGGCTGGCTTTCTCATTTCAGTCGTCTTGCGTGCCCGTTGAGTAACTAACAATGAGCGACAGATTTACGAGTGAGCGACAACTCGGTCAGAAAGCCCTCCAGAACTCATCGCAAGCCTACGACAAACAACTGCTTTCGAAAATTGGCGGCCCGAATACACCCACACGGACGACTGCACCACCACTCCCCTCTGGCAACTCCCAAGACCCCGCCGCCGATACACACGCTTCTTCACATAAGCTCAACGGCCAACTGAAGCCACTGACTGTACCGGCTACATCACCTGGCTACAGCGGCTGGCGAAGTCCCGGCTTCGACTCAGCGGATTCATACATATCACGTTACGGCAGCATCTCAACGCCAGGTCCTTTGGACGAAACTTCTTCACAACATCGTGGTAGCTACGATCATAGCATATTCTCGGACCCTGAGTTTGTTGGCATGGAAGAGAATGGAATGCGCGATTTGAACATCAACGAGCGCAGCCCTGCCGAGTCAGAGGACTATCAGTTAGGCCCAAAGGGTGGCCTGAAACGGCGGGCCTCGTCCCCGCCCTCTGAAGCCGCGCGCGATGACCGTCCCATTCCGACTGGCCATAACGACCTCTACCACCGTCGCTCCCAGCAAATGCTCGTCAATCGGAACTGCACAGCTTCGCGTTTTCAGTCAACCCAAAACTCACTGTCCTCCGCCGGGTCCGCAAGTCAACGTAGTGGCTCGATTGGCTCCTCATTTGGCTTTTCAACCGCTCCAAGTAGCATGGCAAGTTATTGCGGAGATCAGCGCCTATCGCCCAGTGCGTTGTCGCCTTTGGGCGAAACAGAGTTAGGCGCAGTCTCGCCATATGCAGCTAATAGGTCGTTGGACCCTAGTCCCCGCGGGTCGTTGTCGCGACCTCCGCATCAACGGGGTTTCTCAGAGGCCGAGCATCCGCAGATACGAAGAATGTCTACGGAGAGCATGCTACACTCGCGTCAGAATTCAATCGCAAGCCGCATACCGGGGGCTTATATTTGCGAATGCTGCCCTAAGAAACCCAAGAAATTCGACAGTGAAGATGAGTTACGGTAAGTGCATGGATCCTCGCTTGCCCACCGCCATTTGGTCTGCCCACCCTTGAATAACCACGCTGACCCTGGCAATAGAGCACACGAACTAGAGAAGCAGTACACTTGCCTGTATTGTCCCAATCGCTTCAAGAATAAGAACGAGGCGGAGCGCCATCAGAATTCCCTTCATCTACGCCGTCATTCTTGGTCGTGCGCCACTCTCACCAAGATCGAGGCAGCTTTCCATCCCTCACCTACTCGTCCAGCCGTGGCAGATATCTGTGGGTATTGCGGTGAAGAGTTTTCCAACCCCGCCGACTGGGAAGCGCGAACTGAGCATCTTAATCACGTGCACAAGTTTGGTGAATGCAACCAAGCCAAGAAATTCTTCCGCGCAGACCATTTCAGACAGCACTTGAAGCATAGCCATGCTGGAACTAGTGGAAAATGGACCAACATGCTAGAGAACGCCTGCATGAGAGACGAGCCCCCACCACAAGAGCGTGTTGGCTCGATGGGCTCTATATCCGGCCCCTCGAGCCTGGCATCCAAGCCAGGTGTTATTAACGAAGCACACGACGAGGCATGATTTCGAAAAACTTGATACTACTGGCCTGGAGCCATGTACAGCGCTGCCGGATGTTGGATATTATTCAAGATCCGTAGCAACGAACCCTGTGGCTTATCCGAGCAGCTTTTACCTGTCGAACCGGACCCTTCAGCAACACCCCCCGGTCGAGCCGACACTAGCACTATCTTCACATTAGTATTCGTGCCATAGAGCGGCACCCAGACATTGCCTCATTTTTACGAAAAGTTTTCACGCCCGCAGACTGCTTCGCAATTTCTTTTGCCTCGGCGGCGAAACCGGGGCACTTTGGTATAACGACACTGATGACGGCATTCGGTCTTACACATTAGAGATATATCTACGCGGCCCATGACATCTCTGGTGCCACTCAGAGCGGCAAATCTGTTGCATTTCAAGGATGTTTTATCGATTCAGCGGGCGTTGATAGGACAGGAAGTCCAGGATTATTGTTTCAAGCGAAGACGTCCAAACAGTCTTTTTACCTACTATACAGCATGTGTGTCAAGCCAATGCATGAAGAAAATCTTTCCGACGTCTCATTGACCTGAAGCCTCGCCGGCGAGGCCGAATGCAACACTAGAACCATAGTCTTGGCAAGCGGGATCGTTATTCCCGGCTTTTGATACCCACTTGAGCCGCGAGTCCGTACCAGTACAGCGGACTCAGTTCATCTGACATCATCAATAATTCAAAAGAATTTTCCTGCTGGCGCATAGCCAAGGCGCAAAGCAAGTTCAGCTGTCTGTCGGCGTTCAGCACTTGGCCTTGGCACGCCACCACCATCAGCCAACACTCGTTGCCCCCTTTTCACAGTACATCAGCTACGCCGACACTGACTCCTTTTGTCGACAGGATTTTACATGATTTCATATCAGTTGTATGTGGCGGATCGATACTTGCCAAGATCTGAAGCACGTACACAAAAATCAGAATATGTGGGTAGAGGAGTGCGCGTCCTGTCAGCGAGGAGATGCTCGCGTGATACCACATTGAGAGAGCGAGTATGCCTCCTAGATAATGGCACCCCATCGCCAATGTAAAGGGAGTGTACAGCAAGCTGAACATATGCTATCATCTGCTCGCGTATGCATGCTCGTCCAAGGAGCTTGTGCATAGCAACTTGGAAGAGCAAATGACCCTGCATTTGCGTTTTAAAAGATGCTCTCTCTCTAATTGTACGCTGAAATCGAAGGCCAAGATAGCGAAGAAATATCCGTGGTAGCTTCATGAACTCCGCCCAAGCGATTACCCGAGTTATCTTGCTTCGATCCATGCCATCATCAAGAGCAAGAACTCCTCAGTTTCTTCACATAAATCTCCTGAACCACCACAATACCTTTCAACGCCTACCACACTCTCACCCAACCCATCACAAAAACCCATCATCGACCCAAACACGCGTATTTCTCCCTCTACAGAGTCTACACGGACCAAAACACACGCGTTCAGACGGAACCTGACACGTGCGGCTCGTTAGTGCTTACGCTGTCCCCATCTGTGGCTCGGTTCCCCTCTCGCATCATCCCACGCTTCGTTGTTAATTTCTCCGAAAAGGAGCACGGATCATGGCTTGTTTCGGATGTCGGTTTTCTCTGACAGGACGGGATTGAGCGGGACGGGTTATGCAGAGGGTGGGGGGAGGGTGTTTCGGGGGAGATGAGGTTAAGTGTTGGGTGGTTTGGAGGAGGAAGTGCTAGGGGAGTGAGGGAGTAAGGGAAGGAGTGCTGGGGTGGTGTGGGTGGTGGGTGAAGATGAATAGCAAACGTTGTAGAGGATTTGCTGTCTCAGAGGGGTTGCTTTTATTTTTGCGAGGTGCGGATTAGCAAATTCGACGTCGCTTCTTACTTCTTACTTGCTCTTACAATATAGGTTCCAAGGGGATGGATTGTGCATGTAAGGTATAACATTAGTAGCATTAACTCAAGGAATGGCTACATCTTGATTGAGGTTTCCGTCAGGTTGTTAAGTCATGATGCTTGTGTAAGTTTCGATGTGTCCTACATCTAGGTCTAACATTCGCCATAGCTACTTTGGAGACGGACTCACCTTGTGGGCAAGGTATGAGTTTCGGAATTTTGAGTGGCTCGTCTTTGTGTCATCGCTGTATCAAGGGATAGAGTGGGCTTGACTAAGGTATCACATCACGCTTGAACTATGAACCAGAGGGGAGGACGAATATGAAAGGGTCGCATCGCTGTGCTTTTCGTGTGTCCTCTCCCTACTACATTTCTTCAGGTAATGAAAAGCCTTAATAATCTATTAGCAACTAAATCTTATTGATGACACTCTACAGTGCTCACCACACATAGTCGCGTCGACAGCTATAACTGGGTCTTAAAGTCAAGACACCAACCACCTGGGCAAGTACAAGCAGCGACCTCAGAATCTCAGCCTTAACGACAGTCAGCGCCAACCACCGCCCCTCGGAGCCGGAATATCGCTTAAAGACGGATCACTACCTCGGGATATTCTGATCTACGCATATATTCAAGTTGAGTTCCTGGGCTCTCGAATAGGGCTTGTGGAAAGGTGTATGGCACAGTTTGAGGATAGTGTGAAGAAGGACAACGGGAAGATGAGTAATCCGTTTCAGTGTCTTCGTCCGCCAGATGAGATGTGCTTTTTCTGGTCTCCAATCAGCGCTACAGCTTTACTGTATAGTATGCCAGATGAGACGCCCTGATTCGAGTCCTTGTTGCCAGTGCTACTGCTGTTGAAAGGCATACTGTTAAGTTTCGTCCATTGCGAATCCGTAGTTGCGTGACGTGCGACGCTAACACCAGCATTCTTTAAGTGTTATCTCACACGTAACTGTCCATTTTCACTCGTCACCGAAATTCACATCTCGGTCTCGCATGCACGTCTTGATCTCCGATGCTAGACCTCACAAGATATGCAACCGCATAACACGGCGACCTACGTACTTCAATATCAATCAAGACCAGCAGGGAAATGTTTTAACATCACCGGGAACTGATTTCGCGAAACACTGCACTCAGTCAAGTGCTTACGCTGGCATTGATCCCATGTCGCAGGATCGGTCCACTCTCGCAAAAGCTTTTCCCTTGGACGCCTGAACAGACTAAAGCAGCGGAGACACCATGAGCTAGCAGCATTGTGGCTGCAGGATCGTGAGATTGCCCTATTGCAAGGCTAGAGGTGAACAGGTGTCACAAGATGCGTGTCGACATTACGCCCTACGCACCCAACAGACTATGCTGCAAAGGGCTTCTGCGCCGTCATGGACTCCACCTTATGGGAAGATATAAGCGATTTCAATAAACAAAGGAAAAGACAAATCGAACGGAAAATTAAGCTGCTAGCATGCATGTGATGCAGTACGTGATGTGTCGCTGAGTAGATGCGCGGGACGATGCTGACGCGCGCAGATCGGAAGCGAGGCTTACTGTTACCGTTTAGTCCGCTGCTTGAGGCAGGGTTCGAGATTTGTTCGCGTGATTACCCGTTCGTGCTCACTCATTGGCATCTTAAAGAAGAGGCTGGCTGGAGGGCGCGTTTAGTGGCGGCAGTTGGACGGCCTGTACCGTAGTATTAGCGGATATCTGAATATGCAGTAAAAAGCTAAGACATGAACGGGTGAGCGTTTGAGGAGATAATGTAGGGCTGGGATAGACTGCATTGCGAAACGGCGGAGCGTAGATGGCATGCAGTGCCAAGCGGTGGATAGCATCAGCGCTTCCGGGAGTTGGAGAAGTTGGAGACAACGTATCAATCTTGACTGCTGTATAGTATCATACGCGAAACGGCGTACTAATGAGCAATGTTCCTCATTGCATATACACCCAAGTGCCCAAGCCGTTGCGATGCTTGGCACAGCGGGTGTCGTTGAGAAGGGCATCCTTCCTGAGATAGCACATCGCCAAGACTCCTATCGTGTCACCACCCGCGCAGATATGAGATGAGTCAGTAGACACGATGTGGTGACACATGGTATAAGCGAAAGGGTGAACAGGCGGGGTGCGCCATTGCGTGGTAACAACGAGCTGTGTGCCCTTGTCACTTCCTCTCTGCCCCATAGAGATCGGTCACAGTGCCATTACTGTCAGATTGCCTGCAAATCGTTCGATCACAGTATAGCTTGTCCTTGTTTAGGCTTGCGTAGCGAGGATTTGTACCTGTCACGACGCGTGCCGGTCTCGGAAGTGATTGGATACACAGCGTTGGTTGTTATACCAAGATCTCGGGGTACCACGACTTGCTGAACATACTGATAAGCAACTTTGGCGTAGATGAAGGGTCATGACACAGCATGTGGGTTGGTGTACGGCTGAAATGGGCCAACTGAGTGAGTTGATCATTGCCTCTTCATCATGGGCGCACCAAATTCGAGAGCCATGAGTTATTATCTGGCCCCGAACCTTTGACGATGGATGCAGCGAACTAGAACCCCACTTCAATTGGGAGTAGCCAAGACCAGATATACAAACTTGCATGAAGACAGCTTAGATCGGTATAGGAGTTACTGCCGTCTTACAAGCTCCAAGCCACTTCCGCACGATGTCTGCACAAGCGAAGTGTGACTGGCTGAATCCTGCGAGTACATCTGCAGTGTGTGAGCGTTGTTGACTGAAAGTAGCATCTGTCGAACGGATGAATGTATCCGACTATCCCCGTCACACTGGTAGCGATTAACGTCCCTAGGCGAAAGACCCGAAGGGCGAAAGATCTGGTTTGACCGTAACTATAAACAGATGATATGCGTGACACGTATGACATTCGGTAAGCATGGCCTTTGAACCGGCCGCTAAAAGCTGACTGCATCGTCTTCGAAGGATCTAAGGCCGGCGGCCGTGGGGTCCGTCGCTGTTCGCATAAGCCGATCCTGCCTGCTGCCGGGCGAAATGCGGGTATGAGTTTCTCCAAGGTGACGGGAGCAACGACTGGTCTGTGACATTGACCATTGTCGATATTAGGACGCGCTCTGCGTCTAAGGATTTCCGCTAGGCACGGACGGAAAGTTTGCAGGGTTGTTCAGT